TTAACAATGGTAATGCAAATGTTATAGATAATGCTTTTAGTGTAGTAAGCGATAGCTGTAAAGTAAGCAATAGTAGTAATGCTAGTGTTAATGTAAGCAACAGTACTATTTGTGCTGCAAGCTCTGCAAGCAATGCTATTAATATAAATAAGCTAGATAATGGAAAAGCTACTGCTGATAATGGGCCAAAAAGCTGCTCATCAGCCGATTTAATTAGTAATGTTTTGGGTGAGCCTGTCCCTGACGCTAGTGTGGAGGTTTCTCCCGCTTCGTCTGTGGATGCCGAGATGATGCCTGCCTCTAACTATCGTAAGCGGTCAGCTCCAAAGCCTCCTTTGGAGGACTCGGCGGCACCGTCGGGCTTCGCTCCTGGCTCATCTTCGAATGAGCGGGGCAAGTCGAAAATCTCTAAGAAGACTTCCGGGTCTCCCGGTTGTCACTTGCTCCCTGCGAGTGTGTCTCTGGCCGCCAGGACAGCTTCTAGCCGGGGCCCCCCTTCCTGATAACGTTATGGGCTGCCTTTCTTTTTTCATCATGTTTTCTATCCTGTCATTGAATTGTAATGGGATCAGAGATCAGTCCAAAAGAGCTGGTTTGGTGCAGTGGTTGCGGTCTCTCCCTGTTAAGGCGGACGTTGTCTGCCTCCAGGAGACCCACTGTCTATCACCTTCTGAGTGTTCTTTGTGGTTTCGCTCTTCCGGTTTTTCTGCTGTTGTCTCTCCTGGGTCGTCTCATTCGTGTGGTTGTATTGTTTTGTTTCGTCCTTCGTTGTCTCTGGTTAACTCTTGGTGTGATGTTTCCGGTCGTTACCTGCAGGTTGAATTCTCTTTCTTCGGTAGCTCTTTTCGTGTTTGTTGTGTTTACGCACCTAACCGCAACCCTGCGCGGGACCAGTTCTTTGGAGACCTCCATTCCAAGATCGATCCCGCGATCCCCACGATTCTCTGTGGTGACTTTAATGAGGTCTTTGATCGCTCCGTTGATCGGGCTGGCTCTGATCCTTCTGTCTCCTCTCGCGATAGCTCTTCCTCCCTTAAATATCTTTTCGACGACTGCTGTGTGGTGGACATATGGAGGTATCTCCACCCCTCTTCTGTTGGGTTTACCTGGACCAGGTGGGATGGCAGTCTTGCCTCTCGTATTGACCTTTTTGGTGTTCCTTTTTCGTGGGTGCCCTCTGTCTCTTCTTGTTCCTTCGTCCCCTGTCCCTTCTCTGATCACTGTGGTGTCTTTCTTTCTTGTTCCATCCCGGACGCTGTTCCCCCTGGTCCAGGCATCTGGAAGTTGAACATCTCCGTTCTTGATGACCCTGAGTACGTGGAGTTAATATCAAACGCGTGGCGGTCGTGGCGAAACTCTGTCGCCCGCTTTCCCTCCTTGGTGAAGTGGTGGGATGGGGGGAAGAGTTTAATCAAGGGACTTACGATTCGCTATTGTTGTGAGAAGGCTGGTGCTCGGTCACGTCTCCGAGACCTTTTGGTCCGGTTGATCGATCACCTTAAAGCCAAAGTTGATCTGGGCTCAGCATCATGCCTCGGCCCTTATCATTCGGCTCTGGCCGAATTGGCTGCTCTTGACTCCCATGTGGCCAAGGGAGCTCAAGTTCGTTCTCGTGCAAAGTGGGTTGAAGAGGGGGAATCTTCCTCATCGTACTTCTTCCGCCTCGAACGGAAGCGTGGCTCTGATAGGTGGATCTCTGCGCTGAGGGATGAGGACGACTCTATTGTCTCCTCCCCTCGTGATCTTTGTACTTCTTGGTCATCTTTCTTCTCCGGTCTCTTCTCTGCCTCCTCGGTTGACCCTCGCATCCAGACTGATCTCTTGGGGAATTTGTCATCTTCTCTCCCTGATGATCAGTCCTCCCTCTGCGAGGGTCGCCTCTCCGTGGAGGAGGTTCTGGTTGCTCTCCGTGGGATGGCCAGGCGTAAGGCCCCCGGGCTGGATGGCCTTCCCATGGAGTTCTATCTGAAGTTCTGGTCCGTTCTGGGTTCCGACCTTGTCTCTGTTCTTAACTCTTCTTTCGATTCTGGCTGTCTCTCTCTCTCTCAGCGCAGAGGTGTTATTTCCCTGTCTTTCAAGAAGGGTGATCGGTTAGATCCCCGCAACTGGCGGCCGATCACCCTCCTCAACGTCGACTATAAGCTTGCGTCTAGAGCCATTGCTGGCCGGTTGTTAAAGGTCATCCATCTTTTGGTGGCGGAGGACCAGACTTGTGGGGTCCCTGGCCGTTACATCGGTGAGAACGTGGCCCTCCTGCGGGATGTGGCCGCGTTTGCTTCCTCTTCTGGGGCTCCAGTGGCCATTCTCTCCCTCGATCAAGAGAAGGCCTTCGATCGTGTGGACTGGGGTTTTATGCGTTCCACTCTCGTGGCAATGGGCTTCGGTCCGTCTTTTGTCGCCTGGGTGGATCTTTTCTATCGCAGTGTTCAGTCCAGTGTTAATGTCAACGGCTACATCTCGGGCTTTTTCGATCTTTCGCGGGGGGTGAGACAGGGTTGTCCCTTGTCCCCCCTTCTGTATGTCCTCGTATCTGAGGTTCTTGCAGCCAACATCCGCTGCAATGCCCGCATTCCTGGTCTGCACTTTCCCGGCTTTCCCCCTCTTTCGCCCATTTCGCAATATGCTGATGACACGTCTTTTATTGTTTCTTCGGATGATGCAATTGAAGCGGTTTTTGAGACCTACGCTCTTTTTTGAAGAGCCTCTGGGTCCAAGTTAAACCAGGTTAAATCCAAGGGTCTTTGGTTGGGGGCTGGTGTGGTCGCATTGACCCTCCAGTTGCCCTCGAGTGGTCTTCTTGTAAAATTAAGGTTTTGGGTGTTTTTATTGGTGCTGGAGATCTGGATGTTGATAACTGGCGTCCCCGTATTGAAGCGGTGGACCATGTTCTCAAATCGTGGCGTTCTCGTTGTTTGTCTTTTCGTGGCAAAGCCCTGGTTATCAATGCTCTTGCCCTTTCTCGGGTGTGGTATGTGGCATCTTTGGTCCACATGCCCGCCTGGGTGGCGAAAGAGCTCTCTTCTTTAGCTTTCTCTTTCTTCTGGTCCGGCAAGCGGGAGCTCGTCTCTCGCTCTGTCGTGATCCAGTCCCCTCTTTTTGGTGGTTTCTCTGTTGTTAGTGTGCAGTACAAGGTGTGGGCCCTTCTCGGCCAGTGGGTGCGGAGGTTCGCCTCCTCTTCCGCTGGTTGGTCCTCACTCATGTCATTCTGGTTTGTGTCGTCCTTTGGTGTTTCGCCCTCTGTCGTTTTTTCCAGGCCGTTTTGTTTTGATCCCAGGGTATTGCCACCTTTCTATTCCTCCCTTCTTTTGGCCTGGCGGGGCCTCAATGGTTCCTTCGCCACGGCCCGTAACTCTCTCGTTTTTGGTTCGTCCTGCCCTCATGTTTGTTGCCCTGTGGCTGTTATGTCCACAAAAAGCTGCTATCTGTACCTCTTATCTGAGAACATGGTTCCGCCGCATTGCGTGGGAAAGTTTTTCCCAGTGTATGGTTCGCTGGATTGGCCATCCACGTGGCGCTCGCTGACCTTTTTTGATCTCGATCGTCAAGTCGCCGATCTATGTTGGAAGATTGCGCACGGCGTCTTATACACCGCACAGCGTCTTGTTTCCTTTGGATTGCCTGTTCCCCCTTCTTGTTTTTGTGGGTCTCCTGTAGAGTCTTTGGAGCATTTGTTCTTCTTCTGCCCCCTTGCCCAGAGTGTTCTCTCCTGGCTTCAGTCTCTGTTGTTCAGTTTTTCTTTTTATGTGTCCTGCTCTTCTTTGTCGGCATGTTCTCTTCGGTTTCAGCTCTGATGAGCTGATTGTCCTCCCGGTCTTTTTGTGTTTTGTTGAACCTTTGTAAATATTTCATCTGGCAATCCCGTAACGACTTTCGTTTTCGTGCTGTTCGTCCCGGCGCTGCTGCGGTGATCGCGAGGGTGAAGTCTCGTTTGAGATTCCATCTACCCATTTTCTTCAAGCGGTTTCAGTCCGCTCGCCGTCGTCGCTTCTTCCACCGTCAGTGGGGTGCCCGTGGAGTCGTCGCCACCGTTTCAGATGGTCACCTCTCCCTTGCCCTGTAACCGGTTTCCCGCGCGCTGCATGGCCCTAATCTGGGCATTGTGTTTTTGTCTCTTTGTGTTCTGTGTTGGGTGGCCCTAATCTGGGCATTTCGTTTGTTTTGTTCTGTGTCCTCCTGTGCTGGGTCTCCTTGATTGGTGTACTGCACGGAGGTTTCTGCTGCATGGCCCTAATCTGGGCATTGTGTTCGTTTTGTTCTTGTTCTGTGTCCTCTTGTGCTGGGTCTCCTTTATTGGTGTACTGCACGGAGGTTTTTTGTGTTGCATGGCCCTAATCTGGGCGGTCTGTGCTGTATCCGGTAATGTGACCCCCTGCACTGGGTCTCCTTAACTGGTGTACTGTGCGAGGGTCTTTGTGTCAGTAGTGTCTGTTTCTTTTTGTATCGCGGTGTTTTGAAAGGGAGTGTGTTCAATTTTTGGAGTGTGTGTGTTAATTTTGGCGAGGTGGGGTTCGATTCCCCAACGAAGTTGGTGTCTGGTGACCCTCGGTTTATGGTGGACCCAACCCTAAGGCATTGCACTTTCAGCCATGGGTTGGATTAGGTCTGAGATCGGCAGGCATTGCACCGCCCTCACGGGAGCCTGGCCGTTCACCTTAAATATAAAAAACTTACCTGACGCGGGATAAAACCTTCGTCTTAGTATCGAGCGTGGATTTGCGAGTTCACAAGCGATTGTTGGATAAAGAAGCAGGATATTTGTGTGAGTATAATTGCGTCCTGGTTTTTTTGGCTGTTTTTTTCTGGTGACCCTCCCAGGGACTTATGCTCGGCTTCTTGCCGTAACCTGGGGTAAGCCAGTCTTTGGTTGTTTTCCAATCTTTGATTGGATTGGCTCTCTTCTGGGCTTTTTGGCCTGTTGAGTTGGGCGTTTTGTCAGCTCATAGGCTTTTGGCCGGTTTTTGGTCACCCATCCATTTTTGGGTTTTTGCTGTTGTTTCGCCATGGTTGTGGAGTGCGTTAAGACGTGTGTGATTCATGCGTCTGAGATGGTGGCAAGTTATGAAAAGGCCCGTGTGATTGAGCTCCTTAGGGAGTGTTTGGATTTTGAAGAGCTTTCTGCTATTCAGTTTTGCCCCAGGGACTTGATTCGTGTTACTTTTAAGGATGCCGCGGATAAAGAGGATTTTGTGCGTGTTGGGTCATTAACGTTAGATGGGCATGACCTTAGCGTGACCGCTTCTGATAAGCCGTATTCGTTTGTTTACGTGCATTATTTTCCCGTCGAAGGTGATGATGCTTTGATCCGTGATGAGCTGGGTAAATATGGTGAGGTTATTAATATAAAACATCAGAGTTTTTCGGGAATCCCGGGTCTTCTCACGGGGTCTCGCGTTCTTACGATGGTGTTGTCGGACCCAGTTCCTGCTGAGTTTCGTGTTGATGACTTCCCTGTGCGGGTGTGGTATAAAGGTATCCCTCCGTTTTGTCAGATTTGTAAGATCAGTGGTCATAAGGCGGCGGATTGCCAGTTTAACGGAAAGTGTAGGAGGTGTGGCTCCCCGACCACAAGGCGCATCGTGCACCCGGCCGTGGGGGCAGCCTGCTGTTCCAATGGAGGTTGCGGTTCCTGTGGTGCCTGACCCCTCTGAGGCTGTTGTTCCGGCTGTTGGAGAAGTTTCGGTTGAGGACGCGGGTTCTGTTAGTGCCCCTTCGGGGGTTCCTGTTCCGAGCCCCTCGGGGTGTGTCTTGGGGACCGCCCCCTCGGCTCCTGTTGCTGAGGGGGTACTGGCCTCCTCGGTTCCTGTTGTCCCAGTTGTTCCAGTGACGGCCTCTGGCCCCTCTGTTGTTTCCAAGCAGCTTCCCCGAGGTGGCCTCCGCCTCCTCGTGTGTTGCTTCAGTAGATTTTTCACCCCTGATCTCCGTAGGGAGTTTTCTTCCGAGTATCGTGAGTCGTTGTGTAAGTGGGCCGTGGATGCTGCCTACGCTTGTTCGAGTGGGGGCTCTAAGGTGGTAAAGATTGTACCTTTGGAAGCCCCGGACAAGGTTCGTATAACGATGGAGAGTGGGGGCACCAGAATAGTGCGCGTGGATCAGGTTCGTGTTAGCAGGGTTGATATTAGTGAGTCTGAGGAGGAGGGGCCCAGTTTATCCTTAAGGTTAAGGATGATCCCTCGTATCGGATTTCCTTTAAAGGGATCCATTGTTGATAAGATTAGTCCCACTTATGATGGTAGTTTTTTTGACGTGGTGTTCTTGGATCATATTAAGTCTGAGTCCCGGAAGCTCCCCGCCAAGTCTTTATGGGTTAAGAAAATTGCTCTTAGCAATAGCTCTTGCGCCAATGCTAGTAATTGTGTAAATAACGTTTTGGTTGGTGACGGTGTTGTTATGGTTTCCCGAAGCGGTTCTCGGTCTGTGGTCCCTACGGCTGCGGTGCTTGCCGCTGAGTTAATTAAGCGTACTACCCCCCCTTCTGTTGTGGGGGTCCCGAAATGTCGTAAGAAGTTGTAATTAGTATTAACACCAATGTAAATATGATGTTAGTTATAGTAAACAATAATGTAGTTAATATTGTTAATTTTAGTTAATATATAATGTAAACGATATTGTAAATTATAGTTTTTTCGGTAAATATTAGTAAACAATACTATCTTAGTTATTAATATGGTGAATAAAGTATTTAAGTCCTGGCTTTAAATAATGTAATATTGTAAATAATAGTTTTTTCTATGTTTTTGTATCCGTTTTTGTTCGTTTGTTTTGGAGTGGGCGTGTTCAATTTTTGGGTGTGAGTGTGTTCAATGTTTGCGAGGTGGGGTTCGATTCCCCAACGAAGTTGGTGTCTGGTGGCCCTCGGTTTTTGGTGGACCCAACCCTAAGGCATTGCACTTTCAGCCATGGGTTGGATTAGGTCTGAGATCGGCAGGCATTGCACCGCCCTCACGGGAGCCTGGCCGTTCACCTTAAATATAAAAAAACTTACCTGACGCGGGAGGTTCTCTCGTGTCGCTAGTATCTTTGCGTGGGATCGCGTTTTTTGTCGTGGTTTTCCTCGATTTCTCCTGTGTGCTACGATTCCGGAGACTCTTTGTGGGCCGGACTTTTGTGAGTATTTTTTCTTTTCCTTTCTTTTTTTCTATCTTTGGTCCAGTGCTAAGTACCTGCCGGGAGGGAACGCCAGTGACCGGTTTTTTTTCGGTTTTTTCGTGCCTAGCCAAAAGGCTTTTTGGCTTTGTTTTCCTGTAGTCTCGGGCCAGGGTTTCCTGGCCTCGGGCTGGTTTTTTCTCGCGTGTGTCACCCATCCCATTTGTGGGCCTGGTTCGGCTCTTTTGGGTGTGGTGTCACCCATCCCATTTTTGGGTCAGGTTCGGTTTTTTGGGTGTGGTCTCCTGGGCTTTTTTGGCCTTTTTCCCCTGTGTCTATAGTGTGCCAGGTTTTTCAGGTCTCTTTTAGCTGCGGTTTTGGCTCGTGTGTTTTTGTCCGCTCTTTTTGTTACTCTTTTAATTTTCGCTCGTCTTTTCTTTGGCGGGTCGGCCCTTGTGGCCAGCCTTCTGGGTCCTGTTTTGGGCCTTTCTTCCCTTTTGGGTTCGTTTCCTTTCTTTCCTTTTTTCTTTTGTTTCCAATATGGTGTTCCTGTGCTCGAACACTTGTGTCGTTCATGTGCCCGCGGCCATCATCTCGCATGAGAAGTCGCGGGTGTTGTCGTTTTTGGAAGAAGTCGTTGACTTTAACAAGTTATCTGCTGTTCAGTTCATTCCAAGGGGTCTTATCAGGCTCACCTTTAAGGAGCTAGCTGACAAAGAGCGCCTTGTTAGTCAGGGCTCAATCATGCTGGAAAATGTTGAATGTGACGTGACCCCCTCTGACCGGCCTTACACCATGGTGTACGTGCACCATTATCCGGCAGAGGGGGACGATGCCCTCCTGTTAGAACAATTCCGTCGGTTCGGTAAGATTATAGCGACGAAACACCAGCACTTCTCCGGGCGCCCTAGTCTCCTGACAGGCTCTCGTATTCTCACCATGTCCCTGTCGCAGCAGATTCCTGCCGAGGTGTTCGTTGATTCCTATCCTACTCGGGTGTGGTATCGTGGAATGGCCCCCTTCTGTCAGATCTGTAAATCCATGGGCCACAAGGCCGCTGATTGTGAGCATAATGGCAAATGTCGTGAGTGCGGTGAAGCCGGTCATTTGGCTCGGGCGTGTCCGTCCCGCCGTGGGGGGCGTGCTTGGGGGGTTGTTCCTGTTCCGGCCAGTGCCACTCCCTCCGCGGACGCCCAGTCTTTCCCGCCCTTAGGGGCCCCTGTTCGGCCGAGGCCGATGTTCCCGTAATTTCTGAGACCGTCAGTAGTATGGAGGCTGAGGATAGCCAGGTTTCGTCCGGGCCTCCCAGCGTGTCCGTGTGACCCCGGTACTTCGGGCGTTTCCCTCCTGGCTGCGTTGGAGAATTTGGTTAGTGATATTGAATCAGTGGGTAATGAATCAGTCAATAGTGAAATAGAAGATAGTGATTTAGTTGAAAATGAAACAGTAGTTAATGTAAACGAATCTAAAATTAAGGAAAACGTAGTTAATGTTGAAATAAATGAATCTAATCTAGTTAATGACATTGAAAGTAATGATAGTCAGGCGTCCGGGAGTATGGAGTGCAGTAGCTCCCCGTGCATCTCGAGCTTTTCCTCTCCGTCCGGATCGCCTGATTCCCTCGATCAATTTCGGGCTGCTGGTCGTAAGCGCTCGAAGCGCGTCATTGTTCCTTCTGCGGCCGTGGCTGCGGCCTCTATTATGAAACGGTCGAAGGCAGTCCCTGGGTCTGGTGTACAAAAGAAGAAGTCTAAATAAATGGTTCTCGTTTTTTCCTTGGGTTTTTTCCTTTTTTCCCGTCTCGTTATGGCTTTGTCGGTCTTAACCCTGAACTGTAATGGCATCAGGGATGCCTCGAAGAGGGCGGGACTCTTACAGTGGGTCCGTTCCCTTCCGGTGAGGCCTGATATCATCTGCCTCCAGGAGGTCCACTGTTCGTCTGTGCGGGAGTGCGCGTCGTGGTTTCGGAGTTGTGTGTTCCCCGGGCTCGGTGCGTTCCGCCGGGTGCGTTATTCTTTTTCGGGATTCACTGTCGGTTTCGGATTCTTGGTGTGATGCGGAGGGGCGGTACCTCCAGTGCGAGTTTTCTTTTCGGGGCCAGTCGTTTCGCGTGTGTTCCCTGTACGTCCCTAACCGCAATCCGGCCCGGGACTCCTTTTTGCGCGACCTGCAAGTCAAAATTGACTTTTCCGTTCCCTCCCTGCTGTGCGGGGATTTCAACACGGTCTTTGACAGGCTCTTGATAGGCGGGGCTCCGATCCGTCGGACACATCCCGGGAAAGTACTTCGGCCCTGCGTGGCCTTTTCGATGCGTGTTCTGTAGTTGATATCTTTAGATATTTGCACCCGTCCACTCCGGGCTACACGTGGTCCAAATGGAATGGCACTCTCGCCTCGCGCATCGACCTCGTCGGTATTCCTTCCCATTGGGTCTCGTCCGTCTCGGCCTGCTCCGTGGTGCCTTGTCCTTTTTCGGACCATTGCGGGGTGCAGGCCTCCGTCACGGTTCCCGACTCCATTCCCTCCGGTCCAGGCCTGTGGAAACTCAATACTGCCGTCTTGAAAGAAGCCGAGTACGTCCGTTTAATTTCCGATTTTTGGCAGGCTTGGCACGGTTCCGTGGATAACTTTTCCACTCTTGCTAAATGGTGGGATGCTGGGAAAAGCCGTCTTAAAGGGCTCACCATCAGATATTGTAAAAGTAGGTCAGCTGGTGGGGCGCGTAATAGGTCCTTGCTTGCTGCCTTAGTTGCGCACTTAAAGACTAAAGTGGACGCGGGTTCCGTGTCTTGCGTCCGGTCCGTATCGTTCTGCGCTCGAGTCCCTTGCGTCCCTCGATCGTGAGGCGGCTAGGGGGCCCAGGTCCGTCCCGCATTAGATGGGTAGAAGAGGGTGAATCCTCGACGTCGTATTTCCTGCGGTTAGAGAAGAAACGTGCTGTGGATAGATGGATTCCTGCGTTGAGAGAGAGCGGAGGCTCTATTGTCTCCTCCCCGAGGGCCTGTGTCGCACCTTAAACACTTTCTACTCTGATCTGTTCTCTTCTGTCCCCACTGATTCTGTCATCCAGGCTTCCCTTCTTTCCAATTTCCCGTGCCCTCTTCCCTGCGACCAGGCTCGTGTGTGTGAGGGTCTCCTCACTCCGGATGAGTGTCTCTGTGCTCTCAAGAACATGGCCAAGAACAAGGCCCCGGGTCTGGACGGTTTTCCGGCCGAATTTTACCTCCGTTTCTGGCATGTTCTCGGTGGTGATCTGGTCGCTGTGCTCAACTCGTGTTTCCGTTCTGGCTCTCTTGCTCTCTCTCAACGTCGGGGTATTATAGCGTTGTCCTTTAAGAAGGGGGATCGCCTGGATCCGAAGAACTGGCGCCCCATCACGCTGCTCAACGTAGACTACAAAATCGCCTCTCGTGCCATAGCGGGCCGTCTCCTCAAAGTGATTCACCTCGTGGTCAGTGGTGATCAAACGTGTGGCGTCCCTGGTAGATTTATCGGGGAGAACGTGTCCCTCCTGCGCGACGTTGTCCACTACGCCTCCTCGTCCGGGACGCCTGTTGCCATCCTCTCTCTGGACCAGGAAAAAGCATTCGACCGCGTTGACTGGGGCTTCATGAAATCCACTCTCGTTGCCATGGGCTTCGGCCCTTCCTTCATCTCGTGGGTGAGCCTGTTTTACTTCCATGTCCAAAGTTCGGTCAATGTGAATGGCTACCTGTCTCCTTTTTTCTCCCTTTCCCGTGGGGTGCGTCAGGGCTGCCCCCTGTCCCCCCTCCTCTACGTGTTGGTGTCGGAAGTGCTCGCTGTAAACATTCGTCGCAATCCTCGCATCTCAGGCCTTTCGCTTCCGGGTTTCCCTCCGCTGTCTCCCATATCGCAATACGCCGACGACACGTCGCTGGTCTTGACGTCGGACGAGTCCATCGTGGCGGTTTTTGAGACGTTCGCACAGTTCGAAGCGGCTTCCGGTGCCAAGCTGAACCGCTCGAAGTCCAAAGGCCTGTGGCTGGGGGCGTGGTCCGGTCGTTCCGATCCCCCTGTGGCACTAGACTGGTCGTCTGACAAATTGAAGATTCTGGGTGTTTTCATCGGTCAGGGCTATCTTGAGGAGGACAACTGGCGCCCTCGGATAGACGCTGTGGACCATGTTCTCACGTCTTGGCGTTCTCGCTCCCTGACTTTTCGCGGCAAGGCTCTCGTCATAAACGCTCTGGCTCTCTCCCGGGTCTGGTGCGTGGCTTCTCTTGTGCACATGCCGGCCTGGGTGGAGAAGGAGCTTTCCGTCTGGTCTTTTCCTTCTTCTGGTCGGGTAAGCGGGAACTGGTGTCCCGCGCTACCGTGGTCCAGCCCCCCACCTGTTCGGTGGGTTCTCGGTCGTAAATGTGAAATTTAAAGTCTTTTCCTGCTTGGCCAGTGGGTGAAGAGGTTTGCCTCTTCGCTTTCTGGCTGGTCCTCCTTTATGTCTTTCTGGTTTTGTCTTCTTTCGGTGTTCCCCTCGCAACTGTGCTTTCTCGTCCTTTTTCGTTCGATCCCGGGGCCTTGCCGCCTTTCTACTCGTCCCTCTTGTTCGCGTGGCGTCGTCTAAATGGTTCCTTTTCTTCCTCCCTTAATTCCCTGGCAGTCGGTGTCGGCTCGCCCCTGGTTTGCACCCCGGTGGCGGGCGTGTCCACCAAGTCCTGTTACCTTTACCTCCTCTCTGAGAACATGGTCCAACCACACTGCGTCGATAAGTTTTCGTTCACCTTCGGCCCGCTGGATTGGCCCGCTACATGGCGTTCCCTGTCTTTTTTCGATGTCGACCGTCACGTCATCGACCTGAATTGGAAGGTGGCGCATGGCGTGCTGTACACGGCGCAGCGCCTGGCATCCTTTGGACTGTCGGTTCCCCTTGCTTGTTTCTGTGGTCCGACCATCGAATCTCTCGATCACCTCTTCTATTACTGTCCGTTAGCGCAAAGTGTTCTGTCGTGGTTGCAATCGTTGTTGTTCAGTTTCTCCTTTATGTGTCCGGCTCTGTTGGTGCGCCACGTTCGCTTCGGCTTTAGTTCGGACGAACTGTGCGTCACCCCTCGTGTTTTTGTCTACCTTCTTAACCTGTGTAAATTCTATATCTGGCAGTCCCGGAACGATTTCCGTTTTCGTAATATTCCCCCAGGCGCTGTGGACGTCATCGCCAAAGTGAAGGCTCGCCTGAAGTGTCACCTTCCGATTTTCTTCAAGCGGTTCCAATCCTCCCGTCGTCGCCGTTACTTTCACCGTCAATGGGGAGCCCGTGGTGTCGTCGCTTCCGTAAGTGGCAATGCTCTGTCGGTTGTTCTTTAGCTCGTCTTTTGCCCGCTTCTCGCTTTGTTTTGTTTTTTGTTCGCGTGCCACCCCTTGGCTGGCTAGGGGTCTTTATTATTGTTTTGTTTTTTGTTTTGCGTGCCACCCCTTGGCTGGCTAGGGGTTATGATTATTGTTTTGTTTTTTGTTCGCGTGCCACCCCTTGGCTGGCTAGGGGTCTTTATTATTGTTTTGTTTTTTGTTTTGCGTGCCACCCCTTGGCTGGCTAGGGGTTATGATTATTGTTTTGTTTTTTGTTTGCGTACCGCCCCTTGGCTGGTTAGGGGATATTATTATCGTTTTCTTTATCGTTATCGAGCGTGTGCGTTATTCTGTTTCGGTGTGGGTGTGTTTAATGTTTTCCGAGGTGGGGTTCGATTCCCCAACGAGGTTGGTGTCTGGTGACCCTCTTGTTTATTGGTGAACCCAACCTTAAGGCCTTGCACTCCCCGCCTTGGGTTGGATTAGACGGTTAGTTCGGCAGGCATTGCACCGCCCTCACGGGAGCCTGGCCGTTCGCCTTAAACATAAAAAACTTACCTGACGCGGGTTTTTGCTTGCGTTATAGTATCGCGCGTGGATTCGTGGATTCACAAGTGTCTTTGGATAAAGAAGCAGGATTGTTGTAAGTATTATTGTGTCCTGGTTTGGCTGGTTTTTTTTTTTTTCTGGTGACCCTCCCAGGGACTCATGCTCGGCTCCTTGCCGTAACCTGGGGTAAGCCAGTCTCTGGTTGTTTTTCCGGTCTTTGGCTGGATTGGATTTTCTTCTTGGCTTTTTGGCCTGTTGGGTTTGGTAGTTTGCGAGCTCACAGGTTTTTGCCAGTTTTTTTCTTTTTGGTCACCCATCCACTTTTGGGTTGTCTGTTGTTCTTTTGCCATGGGTGTGGAGTGTGTTAAAACGTGCGTGATTCACGCGTCAGAAATGATGGCTAGTTACGATAAGGACCGTGTGATTGTACTCCTTAGGGAGCATATTGATTTTGAGAGACTCTCTGCCATTCAGTTTTGCCCTAGGGGCTTGATTCGTATCACTTTCAAGAATGCCTCGGACAAAGAGGATTTTACACGTATGGGTTCATTAGCGTTGGACGGGCACGATCTGAGTGTGACGTCTTCTGACAAGCCGCCGTCTTTGGTGTATGTACACTATTTTCCTGCCGAGGGTGACGATGCTCTGATCCGTGATGAGTTAAGTAAGTATGGAGAAGTTATCGGTATTAAGCATCAGAACTTTTTCGGGAATTCCGGGCCTTCTAACCGGGTCACGGATTCTTACGATGATATTGTCGGATCCAGTTCCTGCTGAGTTCCGCATTGACGACTATCCTGTGCGGGTTTGGTATAGGGGTATCCCTCCGTTCTGTCAGATATGTAAAGTTAATGGCCATAGGGCCGCGGATTGCCAGTTTAATGGAAAATGTAGGAAGTGTGGTTCCCCGGACCACAAGGCGCATGCGTGCACCCGGCCGTGGGGTCAGTCCGTTGTTCCAATGGAGGTTGCAGTTCCTGTGGTGGTGCCTGACCCCCCTGAGACTGTTGTACCAGCTGTCTCCGATAGTTCTGTTTTGGATGAGGGTGCGGACGAACCAGTTGAGGATGTTGAAGACGAGGCTCCTGTTGCGGAGAATGTTGCTGTAGGTGGATGTGTTGAGGAAGTCGAGGCTGCTGATAATGAGGAGGATGTGGAAGTTGGTACCCCTGCGGGGGCTCCTGTTCTTTGCCCCTCGGGGCGTGTCTCGGGGTCTGTCCCCTCGGTCCCTGTTGTTGAGAGTGTGCAGGTTGCTTTGGGTCCTGCGGCGGTCTCTGGCCCCTCTGGGCCGCCTCAGGCTGTCTGTACTGGCTCTGTTCTTTCGCCTGTTGCTTCATGTAAAGTTTTCACCCCTGAGATTCGTAGGAAGTTTTTTTCGGAGTATCGTGCTTTTATATGCTCCGGGAATGCGGCCTTTGTTTTTTCGTATAAGGACTTTAAGTTGTGTGGGGTCTCCCCTGCTGACGATCCGGATAGGGTCCGCATAACGTTTGAGAATGGGGCGGTTTCGATTGTGCATGCGAATCTTATCCATTTTTCCAGAGTGGATACTAGTGATGAGATGTCGGAGGTAGAGTTTGCTCAGTTTATCCTTAAGGTCAGGGACGACCCTTCCTATAGGATTTCCTTTAGGGGGTCTATTGTTGATAGGGTTGGGCCCACTGAGCACAGTAATGTTTTGTGGGTGGATTTTTCGGATCATTCTAGGTCGCAGTGCCGAAAGTTGCCTGCAAAGGCTTTAAGTGTCAAGAATCTCGCTCTTAAAAGTAATAGCTCTGGTGTTAATAAGGTCAACGAGGCTCCGTCCCCCTCTGTGGGGGCCAATGTTAATAATGTAAATAAGGCTGATGATGGTTTTGTCAATGTTACTCGTAGCAGCTCTCGTTCTGTGGTTCCTACGGCTGCGGTGCTTGCCGCTGAGTTGCTTAAACGTACTACCCCCCTTCTGTTGTGGGGGTCCCGAAATGTCGAAAGAAGTTATAACTAGTTTTAGCACCAATGTAAATATGAGTTTAGCAACTAAGTAAACAATAATGTTAATATATAATGTGAATGATATTGTAAATAATGTTTTTTCTGTGTTTTTTGTATCCGTTTTTGTTTGTTTTGTTGTTTGGAGCGGGTGTGTTCAATTTTTGGTGTGAGTGTGTTCAATGTTTGCGAGGTGGGGTTCGATTCCCCAACGAAGTTGGTGTCTGGTGGCCCTCGGTTTATGGTGGACCCAACCCTAAGGCATTGCACTTTCAGCCATGGGTTGGATTAGGTCTGAGAGATCGGCAGGCATTGCACCGCCCTCACGGGAGCCTGGCCGTTCACCTTAAATATAAAAAAACTTACCTGACGCGGGTTTTTGCCTGCGTCTTAGTATCTGCGCGAATCCTTTTTTCAGGTTCGGATCGTGAATTCAAGATTATCATTTGGAAGGGTGACTTCGCCATCGTGTTCTTTTTTTTGGGCCGGATTCCTGTAAGTATTTCTGTGTTTTGTTCTTTCCACCGCAAGTGAGTACCTGCCGGGAGGGAAAACTTGGTGGTTTTTCTCTCTTTTTTGCCACCCATCCCACTTTGGGGTTTGTTCAGGATCTAGGGTGTGCTCCTTTTTGGGCCCTTTTTTCCTGCTTCCCCTTCGTGATGGTTTTTCCTCGTGCTCTTACACGTTCGACCGATATTAAACTTGGTGTTTTGCCTGAGGGCACGTCAGTCTTCGATACCGCAAAGGCTCTTCGAGACTATTTCGCTGAGGAGGCTCAGTTCAAGGTTGTGGCCATTCAGCAGTGTCCCAACCGTATTGCTCGGGTGACATTTGAAGAGGGTGGGGAAGCCGCTAAAGCGGATTTTCAGGACCAGGGGTTTATCCAGATTTTGGGAGTTGAATGTGAGGTGATCTCCCCTGCCCCTCCGGTGGAGAAAGTTCTGGTATACAATTTCCCTTATGAGAACAATGACTGCGCAGTACATAAGGTTTTGGCTGATTATGGCGTGATTGAAGGTATCTCTTACCAGACGTGGGTAGGCCTCCCGGGTATTCACACTGGTACCCGGGTGGTGAAAATGGTTCGCTCTTCCCCCATCCCGCGGTCCCTTGTGATCGCAGGTGTTCGTTGCAAGGTTTGGTACAGGGGCCAGCCGGTCACCTGCGATTTTTGCAGGGAGGAGGGCCATGTGGCTGCCAAGTGCCCTAACAAGGGCAGATGCTTTCACTGCCGGCAGCAGGGGCATGTGGCTCGTGATTGCCCTGATCGTCCGGGTTTTTATGGTAGGGGCGCCTGGGGTCCATTGCCCAATCGTGGTCTTCCTGGTCGCGAGCCGGGTGAGTCCGCAGGTGGTGGGCCCCCGACTGTTGTGGCTCATTGTGTCGAGCAGTCTTCTCTGTCAGTGGGAGATGTCCCTTCGTGCCCGTCTCCCTTATTGAATGCTTCCTCTTCCTCTATTGAGGGAGGTGTCCCGGATTGCCGGGGCCCTCCCTCTACTGCTTCTAATGTAGCTTCTGGCTTTGGTGATGTGAGTGGCGCTGCCTCTGTCTGTAATAGCGGTGTAGTTGACAGTAATGGCTTGTTAGTTGATAAAATAAACAATGGCAATTGTAATGTAAGCTATATAGATAACGCTAGTAGTAATGTAAGCGGCAATTGTAATGTAAGCTATATAGATAACGCTAGTAGTAATGTAAGCGGGGATCCCCCTATTAGTAGTGCAAGCAATGTACCTAATGCTGGTAAAGAAAGCTATATAGATAACGTAAACAATAGTGATAATGTAAGTGCTAGTGCTGGCTGCTCTGATAGTGGAGTGCCTCTTTTTGGCCCTGCTGAGGGCGTTGCATCGGATTCCCCCCCCTCATCGGGGGATTCAGAGATGATGGCTCTCTCCAGGGTGCGTAAGCGTCCTGCGCCCGAGTCTCCCCTGGAGGACTCATTGGCTCCGGCCGATCTTTCTCCGGGGTCAGTCTCTAAAGAGGCGGGGATTTCTAAGGTCTCTAAAAAGAATCCGGGTGGTCGGGCCACCACTCTTTGCCGGCGAATGTCGCCCAAGCTGCTGAATTGGCATCTAGTCGTAGTCGCCCCCCTCTGTAGTGTTATGGCTGGCCTTTTTTATCTCATCATGGCCCTCTCTATTCTGACTCTGAACTGTAATGGGATCAGGGATCAGTCTAAAAGAGCTGGTTTGGTGCAGTGGTTGCGGTCTCTTCCTGTGGGTGCTGACATTGTCTGCCTCCAGGAGACTCATTGTTTGTCATCTGCTGAGTGTTCGTCGTGGTTTCTTTCTTCTGGCTTCTCTGCTGTCGTCTCCCCTGGGTCTTCTCATTCGTGTGGTTGTATTGTCCTTTTTCGCCCCTCGTTGTCTTTGGTTAATTCTTGGTGTGATGTCTCTGGTCGTTATTTACAGGTGGAATTCTCTTTTTTTGGCAAGTCCGTTCGTGTTGTTTGTGTGTACGCTCTCAACCGCAACCCTGCGCGGGATCAGTTCTTTGACGAGCTTCATTCTAGGATTGACCCCTCGATCCCTACAGTTCTTTGTGGGGACTTTAACGAAGTTTTTGACTGTTCTCTGGATCGTGCTGGTGGTGGCCTGTCCACCTCCTCGCGTGACAGCTCTTCCTCTCTTAAATATCTTTTTGAGGACTGTTGTGTCATCGATATCTGGAGGTATCTCCACCCTTCCTCTTCCGGTTTTACCTGGACCAGGTGGGATGGCAGTCTGGCGTCCCGTATTGATCTTTTTGGTGTGCCGTTTTCGTGGGTGTCTTCTGTTTCTTCATGTGATATCGTCCCGTGTCCTTTTTCGGACCATTGTGGTGTGTTTCTCTCGCTTTCGATCCCTGATGCTGTCCCCCCTGGTCCGGGCTTTTGGAAGCTCAACACTTCTGTTCTAAATGACCCTGAGTATGTTGCCCTGATTTCGGATGCTTGGTTGTCTTGGCGGCGCTCCATCTCCCGTTTTCCCTCCCTTTGGAAGTGGTGGGATGCAGGGAAGAGCCTCGTGAAGGGTCTTACTATCCGCTTTTGCTGTCGTAAGTCCAGTGCCCGGTCGGGCCTTCGGGACCTTCTGGTCCGTCTAATCGACCACCTCAAGGCTAGAGTCGACCTGGGCTCCTCCTCGTGCCTTGGCCCTTATCTTTCGGCCCTGGCTGAGTTGGCCGCCCTGGACTCTCAGGCGGCCAGGGGGGCCCAGGTTCGCTCTCGGGCCAGGTGGGTGGAGGAGGGGGAATCGTCCTCGGCTTATCTTTTGCGGCTTGAACGGAAACATGGTTCTGACAGATGGATCTCTGCGCTGAGAGATGGGGATGGCTCTATTGTTTCATCCCCTCTTGACCTCTGTGCCTCTTTGTCCTCTTTTTATTCCGATCTTTTTTCTGCATCTTCTGTCGACCCTCAGGTCCAGGCTGACCTCCTAGGGAACTTACCATCTCTCTCTGGTGGTCAGTCCTCTTTGTGTGAGGGTCACCTCACTGTTGATGAAGTTTTGTCTGCGCTCCGTGGGATGGCCAGACGTAAGGCCCCTGGTCTTGATGGCCTTCCCATGGAGTTTTATCTTAAGTTCTGGCCGGTTTTGGGTGCTGACCTTGTCTCTGTTCTTAATTCTTGTTTTGACTCTGGTTCTCTTTCCCTTTCTCAGCGCAGAGGTGTTATTTCCCTGTCCTTCAAGAAGGGTGATCGGTTAGATCCTCGCAACTGGCGGCCGATCACCCTCCTCAACGTCGACTATAAGCTAGCTTCTAGAGCCATTGCTGGCCGGTTGTTAAAGGTCATCCATCTTTTGGTGGCGGAGGACCAGACT